TAAGTTTCAGGGTGAAGATCTTCTCTCACTACTCTAAAGGGCCCCTTTGGCAATAGGAAACAGTAGACTATTGTAGAGACTGATTTTGGAATTTAGATGCACTGTCTGTTAATATTCTTAAAGTAGTACTATTTAGGATGAGAAGAGAATAAAAGATATTCTAATACAAGCAAAATAGTCACTCCGCCTTAAAACAGTATTTGAGTTCTAGAAGAACTATTCTTTCAATGGCCATTCAACTCTGCCACCAGCAAGATGAAAAGAAAGAAACAACAACCCTAGAGGGGGCAATTAAAAAGGGAACTTTGTCAATGTGCATCCGTACAATTAATCAAAGCCCTAGGGGAATATATAAGCATTACCTAAGCCAATTAAAACTTGTGCTGCACATAGGCAAGATCCTGTCTGACAAAGACATTAATTAGCTCTTTAAAAACCATCCTGGAGTAAAATTCATGTGCTTTCCCAAAGAAATAAAACTAAGCAACTGAATACAGATGCTATGTAGTCAATGAGGTGCTTTCAATTTCTTTTTAAAATATCACTTTTTAAAAATCCTGCTAGGTTTAATTGGTAAAGGATGACTCTATTGGCAGGAGACATCACTTCCTTGACAATATCACCAGACAGAACCTCTCTCTCCTCTCCCTCGTGGCTATTTGCTAAGAACCAGCAGGCTCTCCAGAATGTTGTCGTCAGTCGATCTATGAAATGGTGCATTTCTTTAATGCCAATCTACTGGGGAGTAAGGACAATTCTTCCCAGAATGAGAATACACTGGCGACTATGTTGAATGCAAAAATCAAGGTCCAAATTAAACCAGAAAAATCTGACACAATTTCTCTGTTCAGGAAAGGTCAAAGAAGTCTCTTCTACCTTCACACTGAATTATTCTGACACTTAAAGAGCATGTCTTGTATTATATGCCATTATTTTTATTTCTTCAGTATCAAATAATACAAGGATCTACTTTAGTGGTAACAATACAGACAGCAGAATGTTAAGTACCTGTCAAGGCTCCAAAGCTTCACAGAACCATCAGCAGCACAAGAGGCCAGGTTGACATCTTTTTGGTCCAGAGAGACTGTGGACTTGGGATGGAATACAATCGCTCCTACATTTGTGTTATGTCCTACAAAAGTATAAAAGATGAAAGATAAAGAGCTCCTGCTTCCTTATACTGTTAGATGCTGTGAGGGTGATTTCTAACTCATAGGGACCCCATGTGACAGAGCAGACTGCTCCACAGGTTACGAGGGTATTAATTTTTAGTGGGAGCCGATTTCCAGGGCTTTCTCCCTAGAGCTAGTGGGTGAATTTGAACTGTTCATCATATGGTGAGCGCCTAATCATTGTATCCCTCTTATAATCTATGTGCAAATACTGAATATGGTGAATGATACTGGTTAAGCACCTATTAAGGCAAGATGTGGACATAACAGTGTCAAAGCAACAACTAATAAGTAAAATGAACCATTTGTTTCATGATACACACACAGAATAAAACATGTGCTTTTCAACTTGCTTTTTTATATATATTTTTGGTTTTTTAAGAATCAAATCCCTATGCACTTCCAAAAACTTCTCCAATAGGGTAAAAAGGGAAGCCACAGACTGGGAAAAAGTATTTCAGAATGACATGTCAGATAAGGGACTTATATCTAGAATTTATAATATACTTGAGCACCACAACAAGATAAAGGTAAATAATCCAATTGAAAAATGGGTACAGGATATGAACAGACACTTCACCAAAGGAGACATTCAGATGGACAACAAGCAGATGAAGAAATATTCAAAATCCCTAGCCCTAAGAGAGATGCAAATTAAAACAACTATGAGATATCATCTCACCCCAATCAGAATAGCAAAATTTAACAGAACAGCAAACAACAAATGCTGGCGAGGTTGTGGAGAAACTGGAACCCTTATTCACTGTTGGTGGGAGTGTAAAATGCTGCAACCACTGTGGAAGGCAGTATGGCGCTTTCTCAAAAAGTTGCAAATACAGATGCCATTTGACCCAGCAATCCCATTACTGGGAATATACCCCAATGAGACCATAACTGACATCCAAGCAGATATATTCACACCCATGTTTATTGCAGCTTTGTTCACAATAGCAGGGAGTTGGAAGCAACCCAGGTGTCCATCAACAAACAACAAAAAGGATAGAGAAGCTGTGGTATATTCACACAATGGAATACTATGCTGCACTGAAAAACAAGGAACTCAGGCAATATTATTCAAAATGGATGACGCTGGAGGACATTATACTGAGTGATATAGCTCAGTCACAAAAAAGACAAATACTGCGTGGTGCCACTGTTGTAGAATGGGACTGTTATCAGGGTTGGGGGAAGACTGAGAAAAACTGGATAAATTATGTATACGCATTGAAACAGATGAGGGAGAGAATAATTTAAAAATGATATATGATAGGGTATTATAGTTATCACAAGAGTCCAGAATTAAGGGTGCATAGTGGAGTGTACCTGGGGCGGTAGGAGGGCTGCGGGGGGATTGTATACCAAAGAAAGAATTTTGAATTTTTCTTTTATTTTTTCAAAGAGAGGAGCAAACTGGGGTGAGGGGGGCGCGCTGGGCAGGGAGAAAAGTGCAACAATGACTGAATGGAAATCCAAAATCTCTGTAAATGTTCATTAAAGTAATAAAAAAAATTACCATTGGAAAAAAATTATTAATTTCAATGAAAATTTACAGAGTTTGGCTTTCTATTCATTCATTGTTGTACTTTTCTCCCCTCTCAACCCTCCCCACCCAGTACACTCCCCTCATGGAAAAGTAAAAGAAAAGCTCCCCCATTGTTTTACAGTCCCCCCCACCCAGGTCCACTCCACTACGCATTCTTCGCTCTGGACTCCTATCATGACAAAAATACCTAATCACATATTCCTCCCCCCTTTTTTTTTTAATTTAGGTTGTTTATTTTTCATTTC